ATTGATATTCAAATTTTTGTAGATACTGATTTGGGGATTTTCATTAGTTGTCGGTTATAATCATCAATACTAAAGAAATAATCATTTAAAATATATCAGTCTGTGTGTAATGAATTAATCTAATATACAAGATTCACTTTTTGAATGGAATTACCTAAATAAATCAACTTTGTCATGATATTCTAATTTTACGGACAGCACCTGTACTTGACTCATAGAATACACACAGGATGATAAGAAATGTAAATATTTGTCTTATTTCAGCAGGTTGCAGCATAGGAAGAACACACAGCGGAGAAGCACAGCTAGCATCGGCTCCAGTGATGATGCGTTCAGGGACACACAGAATAACTGCAGTTTACATAAAGGTTTTCAGACAGGATCGATTCTGACTCTTTATGAATCAATTCTGAATCTTTATAAATAAGAATTGCGATTTGGGCGTGAACCTTTTTTTTTCCATAGGCACCTCCCATTTAACTATTTTAGTGGACTCACAATAACTCCCCGAATCTAACCATGAAATGTGGTTTGTTTCAAGCGTTTACTTGGTAATCTGGCATTTCGAGAACCACCTTACTCTGTTCTTTTAATAAAAGACATCAGCTGTTTGATATCGACCAACTACACCTTGTTAGCAAGAGGATTAGGCTCACCTCAGTATAGCTATCATGATGTAAAGCAGCAGTTGCCCAGTTCATCAGCTCCTTCTGTTTTTGCTTATGTGAAAACTGCTTTGTAAAGATGCAAAGCTAATTCATTAGTTCTCTTGGATTTTCATATTGAATTATGCTACAATGTAGAAAACTAAAAAGAAAAAGTAATTAAAATATGCTCTTGCCTTCAAATTCAATTGGACACACAAATGTGTACATTTATTTTTTTATAACTTTTTTGTAGATCTTTAGTTGCACAATGAATTGTCTCTTGATTTCACTTTAAAGGGCAGGTCAAGCATGCCTCAGAGTCCTTCTCCACCCACGAATCAATTCTAAAAACTGCAACATTTGTAGGCGTTGCCTGGCGGACCGAGACAAGTGACAAGACAATGGGGAACAAGACAGTGCTAGCTCCCTTCACTCTGAGCAGTCATTAGAAGTGGAGGACATTTCTCCCCCTACTTACCCAGACACTCGAGAAGAAAGGGACCAAGTCTATTTGGAGGAGACAAGCAGACCCAACAGAACCAGCTCTGAATGGTACGTAGCAGTTAGCCATAGCATTAGATTAGCTGCAGGGTTTGGCTCCACGGTCCTAGAGAGCTAGTATTCAGCATGTTTTACAGATGTATCTGCTTCAGCACACCTGGTTTTAATCAGCAACAAATAGCTGAGCTGCTTAACAGCTAATCTAACCTGTTAAAGCAGGAAAACCACTGAAACGTGCTGGATAGCAGCTCTCCAGGAGCCCTGGGCTCAAGTTACAATCTGCTGCATAGAAAGTTAAGAAAATACCCCATGAGAAAATTATTCTGTAATGTGTTCAGCCCACTAAAACTGCCCTGATTTCATTATTTATTTACTGATACCAGCTGCTCTCTTGGTCGTAGGTGATCCTCTGGTGTCTGCAGCTGGTCTCCTCTGGTGGTGTGGTCAGGATAAGGAGCTTCCAGAACAATGTGCCTTTCAATGATTCCTTACCCCTCTAAACAGTTATTTGTTATATTAATTAAATAAATCTCAATTTATATATTTCCTGTTTTTGTTCATGTCCATAAATACTTAAAAGCTTGTTTTAATTTCAAGCATGTTTAACAGTGAGGTGCTAGTTTAATTCATCACAATAGAGATAGTTAAACATGCAACAATGTGATAATTAAATTAATGTCATTTATAAATATCCATTAAAATATAAAACTGGAATCAAACTGAGACAATTGGCAGCACAAAAAACTTGTCAAACACAATATTTATTATAATAATTGTAGGCAGACAGGAGACAGAGGTGATGGAGGTTCTCAATCATCGAAGGATGGCTGAAGGCTTTCCAGGAACAGGAGATGTGATGTTGTCTCTTCTCTCTCTATTCTGCCAGATGAGGTGATCGGTTACAGGTGTGTGAGGACATCCTCATGCTGTCATAACCAGATGACAGGAGTTATCAGGTGATCAGCCAGGCTAATGATGAGATGCAGAAAGAAAATAAATCCAAGACAGTGTACAATAATAACAATAATATGTGGTGTTGCTCACCTTATATGCTCTTATAGAGTATTAACGTGTGCCTGCCTCATGGTGTAGAGTCCATATTGTAAGTGTCCTGCAGTAATGCAGGTTATTAGTTAATTTACTTTTAATAGCAAAAACTAAAATATTTAATTTACATGTTGTTTACCAGATGAATCAGCTCACACGCCACCAAGTGTCACAGGGCCAGAATCAGTAGTCTCCTTCATGATGGCATGATGTAATCTAGCTCCAAGCTTGCAGCAACAACACACGTGTAGCAATAAGCTATGAAACAAAAAACATAGTTAATGTTAAAACTCAAAGGCTGTAATAAAGATTAAATAATGATTAAAAACAACTCACCTTTACTACACAGTCTGACAGCAGATTACTTGGGTTCATTTAGCCTGAAAAAAAAATTATATATAACATCACAGTGTTGTGAGAGGTCGCATCCAGAGATGATGACAAACGTGGAAAGCAGAGCAAGGATGAAGCTACAGGTTTTTCTGTTAGATCAGGAGGCCCTGAGGTAAAATGGGATGTTGGTGTGTCTGGGACGATACTCCTCTTCAGTGATGACCTGCCAGGCTGAGATGTAAGGAAAAAAACAGGAAACAGAGTACATTATTATTTAGAATGCTTTTACCTGGATCAGTTCATAGAGCTTGTTCTGTCATTCAGATGGAAGCTGCTCAGAAGCTCTCCACCACACCTGGGTCTGTTCAGGAGTGTAGAAGCTGCTCTGGCTGGAATTCCCATCATGGTCCCAGTGTCAGACACACAACTGCTGGGATGCTATGTGAAATATATAGAAACAGCAAATATACTTATAGCTGTTTTTAAAAGCAGCAACACACATGTAACAATAAGCTGAAATGATGACATAATGTTAAAACTAGAAGGTAAAGAAAGCCAGATTGTTAAATAATTCACCTGCAAGGCTTCTAGTCTGGACCGGTGCAGGCTGGAGGACTACATCCGACTTGGGCAGACTTAGCTTGAAAAATATAATATCACTTTGTTGTGGGAATTAAGTAACTTAGATCATGTACAAAACAAACTGTCTAATATATGTGCTTTATAACACGGCTGGTGAGTGATCTGACTGCTCTCAGAGCTAACTCAGGGTCCAGAATCAGACATGTTCTAATCTGAATTGGACTCAGCACCAGTTCAGAACCGGGTCAGCTTTTTAGCAGAAGGAGGAGCTGCTCGTCATTGTCCCTCCTGCTCTGTATCAGCGCTGATATGACTAACTGGCACAAAAACTCAACCCGAGCCAGTCTGTGAAATTATAACACACACAACACTCGCTTCGAGCCTGCGGCAGTGTGGACTGATTGTCTAAATTATGTGAACCACGTCCACGTCTCTCTTACTTTGTAATTATAAATATAGCTGCTAAATTACAGTTAGAGAACAATCTTTAGAAGCTGTTAAAAGTAATTATTTAGCTTACTCACCTCAGATTGGGCCCAAAATCTCCGTTTTGGGGAAGTGGCAGTCGGCGGGATCCGGCTAATTACTGGAACGGCTTGGACTAATTTGTGAAAAGCTCTTCAAACCAGCATAATCGGTTCTAACTCAATCAAGTTGGTGAAAGAGTCTGATGTAAAAAATACTAAACTACAAAATCTAACAGCCAAGCTACTCGAACTAAATAATTTTAATACTAGAAGTTTTGCTGGGACTCTGACAAAATGCTAATGCTAACTACCGCACAACTCACTTACGAGCCCTGAATGCTACAAGGCTGATTGAGACCGTGGTGCTTTTATAACCTACAGCCACAGAGCTGCTATGTAGTACTTTTCTGAAATACATAGCATTGTTCTCATTAGCCATTGGCTAAAACCGACTCAAAATAGACGTGTTCTATACTTTTGAGCCGAAGATGGCGCTATACTGACGTTCGCATCAAAATGCAAAAATAACTACACATGTCTACAACACTATTAGACACTCATTTATACTAGTTATCAGCTAAAATAAGTTGATTTTGATGTGACTTGCTCTTTAAAAAACTTAAGCTGTTTGTGCTGAAGTAAATTTCAGAATCACCTTTTTTTTTTTTGTTATTTTATGCACTGTTTTTTTTGTATCCAGCCAGCTCCCACCTAGAAACAGTCTGATCAGTTGGACCTATAATGAGAGAACCAGTGATGATGTAGCCAAGAAGGAGGAGGAGGACTGGGCTTGTCAACTCTGCACGCTCATCAACCAGCCAACAGCTAAAGCCTGTGATGCTTGCCGTACTCCAAAACCTGAGGGTGAGTGAAATTTTCTCTTTTACAGTCACTGTCTTTAATAGGGTGACAGGACCTCTGTGTTAACAAGAAAACAAAAAATGTAACTTTTTTTTTTCTTTGCTATATAATACATGTACACACAATGCTCCAGTGCTTTGAGCAGCGTGGCAAATGCTAAATGACACCGGAGTGAACTGAGTGAAGTTCTCTGTGATGAGAGGTGGTATGTTCCAGCACGAGTAATGACCACTTCTGTCAGCTGGTCATTCTTCTCTGTGTGTCTGGAGATGCATCGTGGCAGCAGTGAAACTTTTCTTTGGAACACATCCTCATGCTCCATCCCAGCTGCAGCAAGCAAACCACAGCTGATTGGCTTAACTCGTATTGATACGTTTCTTTGTACACTGCTACATTTCAAATACATCAAGGACTGAAAATGGCTGCGAGCGGCATTCCAAATATTTCATTTGTCTGGCTCCGGTTTTACAGTTATTTAAGTTTTACTTTTTCTACTTTGAATTCAAATCTTTATCTTTTTTGTTTTAAAACAAAATAAAATGTTTTTTTTTTGTATTCACGGGGTGAATTCTGCTCACACTAACGATACTAGTATTACTGTAATGTACTACAAGTATAGTACATCAAACATGAGTAGCTAAATTTAAAGATTTTAAATATTCTTGACGAAGCATGTTTTATTTTTATTTTGTTTTTTTCAGGAAAGGTGAGGAAGAGTCAGTACATGTATTTATTTTAAATTCTCCAAATCTCTGAAAATGAACAGCACACTTATTGCTCCACATAAAGCTGATGGAGTGCTCTAACTTCTTGATAAAGCCCTGATTTACATGCATGCTGTTATATTTTTCATATCCTCCCACTGTGCATCTCCACCGACACAGCTGGGGGTCGAGGGCACTTCTCTAGGGCACGTTTGAAGCTTTGGAGGAACTGAAACCCAGCTTTTTTTTTTCTTTTTTGTTTATGACCCAACCTCAGTCTGTTTACTAAAAATACATCCTTAATTTTTAGATTTTTGTATATATTTTTCTTTTGCATCTTCAGCACCCAAGGTTGTTTGACATTTAATGTGACTAAAGAGCACAGCAGCATGCTGCTTACTGCTACGTTTTACGACAAAGCTAACCACTTAAAACTAACAACAACCTGCATTTTGTGAGAGCAGCCAGTGCATCAGAATGAGCTGCAGCTGCTGAACATAAATTGAGTTTCTCACTCTGGCCCCATCTCCGCAGCCCACAAAGACGACATTAGTACTGAAGTGTCGCCCTTCACCGCTGATTTAATTAAACATCCCTGCAATGCCTTCAAGAAACCAGGAGAGGAGCTCAAAGTCAACTGGAGGTCTGCATTTGGGACTTCCACCCTTGTTTTCTCTGACATGAGTAAGAAGCCAAAGCCTGTAAACTCTCCACTCTCCCTGGCCGGCAGTCATTTGAATTCCTTGGCGGCAGCACGAGGTTTATATAAAAACAGCTTCTGCCAGGGGACAACAAGCCCCAATTATGCCTCTGGTGGCTGGCAGAAGCAAAGTGCCGAGCTCTCCAAAAGGGAATCACTGGCCTCCTACAGTCACCCATCCAAGAAAATGAGAATTGATCACAGCCCCTCTCCTAGTAACAAAGCTCAAAATGGAGCCCCCAACTCAGGGTGAGTGAATCTCCTTTGCTATCCATGCATAAGTTTATAATAAGAGAAGTTTTTTGCAAGTTCAGGGAGATAAGTGTGGTTTAAAAAAAATGCTGTGGGATCCTAATGCAGCATTGTTAGGTTTAGATTGATAGCCACAGTCGAAAACAAGCGATATACAATTATTGCCAACCAACAACATTACACACAGCTGAAGAGAGGGCTGCTCGTTGGCTAATAAGTGTTGATGTGACAGGTATTCCTGGGTTTTTATTTACAACATATTTCAAGCTAATAAGACAGTTTCTTCCCTCCTGTCACTGTGTGGAAAATGGAAAAATCAAGTGGTGCAACCCTCATCTCTCCCAGTCCCAGTGCCCCTTGTTGTGCATCCCATTGCCGTCCGGCTGTCCTCAGAGTGGTCCACAAGGAGGGGGAGAACAAGGGACGACAGTTCTACTCCTGCTCGCTACCAAGAGAGACCAAGTGCAACTTTTTTGAGGTGACCGTAGACAGTATTTTTGTGGATACTTTTTAATTTGAATCCATTTGCAAAAGAAACTAAACTGAATTAATGAAGCGTTTTGTGTGTTTTTCCCACTGTTGCAGTGGGCTGATTTGCACTTCCCTTTCTGTCACCACGGGAAACGCTGTTTAATGAGGACGGTTCTGAAGCTTGGCCCAAACAATGGTCGAAATTTCTACACCTGCAGCTTTCAAAAGGGTAAACAATGCGACTTCTTCCAGTGGGCAGAGAATGGACCAGGGGTGTCCATCCTTCCTGGCAGCTGAAGCGTTGCAGCCATGCATAAATAGTTCCCTGATATATACGAAAGAAACTGTATTATAGTGAATTTAGGTATTTGTTTTACATTTATTGATGCATTTCAACTAACATAATTATATTTGCATGTATTTTGTATTGTGCTTTGTAAATGACGTGTGTGTGTGTGTGTGTGTGTGTGTGTGTGTGTGTGTGTGTGTGTGTGTGTGTGTGTGTGTAATTTTAAGTTTTCACAAAAGCGCCATCAATCTGATTAGAACAAGTCAGGCCAGAAACGTTAATCAAAGCAATTCTTTTTTATAAATTCAGTTTTAATTCATTATATCAGAATAAAGTGCATCATAGAAATTGTTCATTCATACTCAGTTTTAGAGATTTGAAGTATTATTTTTTTAAAAGCAATCTGCAGATTTCATGACTGGAGTGTCTGACTCTGAGTTTGACACCATGTAGTGAAACTGGGTGAGGCTGGGGGCTTTGTTACACGCTGCACCTGAGTGGAGAGAGAGAGAGAGAGACAGGTCTGTTAATGGAAGTTAATGCTTCCTGTTCCTTTCTCATCGTGTCTATAGATTGGCTCAAATCATCATGTTCTGTCTTAATAAAGGCTGTTGCTTTTCAGGTGGTTTTACTGGTTAATATGGCTTTTTATTCACATCCTGGTCTTATTTTCTGCACAACAGAAATAATATGATGTGGAAATAAGGTAAATATAGTTATCAGAAAAACTGCATGTTGCTATTTGAAGGTGGAAAAAAACTTATGAGCTGTGTAAAAGAGGAGAGCCTAAGGGTGTGCCTCTTCATCTGCTAGAAAGATTACAAAATGTATCACTGTTGCCATGAGAACACAATTTCCAGGCTGAAACAGATTTTGCTTGAGCTCTTCAGGGAAGAATGGATGACAAACTTCAAAACAGAGGACAATTTGACGTATCTTCACAAAGGTTGAGGCCTAGTAACCTTTAGACAAAACAAATCAATGTAATTAATGCCTGACCTTTGTTTAAACAAATACTCGACTTCACAGAAGATTTTCCTGAAAACTTCCAAAGGACAATACATTAAGTACATGGAGATGTTAACATAGGGCTGTGCGATACAGCCTATAATCAATACCATGGTATATTGAGGATATTGACGATAAATGGACGATAACTACGTATGCGCTAAAAAAGTTGTCCAGTCTTAAAGGGACATGGACATTAGTAACCCACTCATGTCCTTTAGTTTATTATTATTTTTTAAATACTGGACGTACCAACATGGGCAAAATGACGTTGGTAAGAGTCACTAATTTTGGCAACAGTAAATTTTCAGTTTCAGTTAACTCTGCTCTTTATTTTGCATTTCAAAGGCCAGTGTTATGAAAATAAATCTACATAAATGTTAGTTGAAAACACACAGCTATTGCATGGTATGGCTATGTTATTTTTTGTGCATCTCTTTAGTTCTCTACACAGGGTAATCCCTGAAAAGTTTTCTAATTTCCTTTTAGATGCACATTAACATCCTAACACCATTAGGTGAATATTAATTTGTTTTCCCTGCTGCATCCCCGAGGACATGCATCATTACGTTTGGGAAAAGACCACTGCAGTCTATTTGTGAACCCATACACTCACCATAATGGCCGGTTGTGTTAGCGCAGACTATGGCTCCAAAGAAGTCCGGGTAAAACCTCTTTATTCTGGAAATAGCCGACTTGCAGGCTGCCGAGGGATCTGCCCCGGCCCTCATCAGCTCCACGGCCAAGTAACTGTTGGCAGTATGACACAGAAAAGACATGAGGCAAACTAACAAGGGCTGTCAAGGCCACCAACCAGGATCATCATAATGATGCCTTTAGAATAGTAATGATGAAAAACTACAGCAGAAAATAAAATGGAACCGCGATAATTTACCAATGCCTTTAAATGACTTGCACCACACTGACACTACCAGTGTCATTAACTCCATTAGCCTCAGGTCAATTGCATAAAATGAGTGATGCACTTGAAATTTCCAATAAAAATACAATGAAAGTATAAATTTGATTTGGGGAAAAAAATATGAATGTGAACAGAGATGTACCTTGTAACACTTTACAGGAAGTCATCAGTGTTTGCAGTTTTTTTTTCCATTTGACTGTATTTTACATAATACCTCATTAAATTTATAAACTATATTTGTGCTCTGCCTCAGTTTGTTTGTTTAAACATGTGGATGCTGGTTTGCAGTAAGGCTTCAAGTCACTCTCTCACACACACACGCACAATATTCTAACTTTTAGGAGAAATGTGGGCATGAATAAATACAATTCAGTCCACTAATAACACGGTTCTTGAAAACAAGCTGTGGTATTTCCAGGAAGTGAGCAAAAAACTATACTTGAAATAGACTGTGTGTGTGTGTGTGTGTGTGTGTGTGTGTGTGTGTGTGTGTGTGTGTCAAATGAATGGCATGTGCACTCACAATCCTAGCCTAGATAAATAAAGCTTTAAACCAAGAAGAGAAAACAGTCGCTTAAGTGAAATCTCACTTCTTTGGTGGAATGTTCAGATGACAGTTTTAGGGCGACGAAGCCATGTCTCCTCTTTTTTTAACACCATTTAAGCACTTAGAGCTCAAGGCCCACATTAGAAGTTAGCTCTTTAAAATATCTAGACGTCACAGATGTCAAATTTCTCTGAACTGCTTTTTTTGCTCAGAAAAAAACACTCTGCAGTCCTATTTTTCATAAATAACAGTGTGAAGGAGTTTGAATTCAGTCAACATATTCGAGTTAGTTCAGCATTTGATTGACAGTGAACTATTTTGACTTACTAAAAAACTCATATAATAAATAAAATACATACCGGTAAGTTGGGTGTGGATAACTCCAACAGATAGTGTTTATAAAGTTGCAGAAGAAGAAGCTTCTTTAAAGTGAATTTTGAATTATTTTTGACCTTCACTTATTGCATACTGTTTGACAGCTTTCATGCTGTCCTCCAGTGACACAATAGAAAAAAATACACAAAAGAAATGTAAAATTCATTGGGGAACCAGTCAAAGCACCTGGGTAGAAAGCGCATCATGAGGTCTCCATCGCCTGTTGCTGCAGCAGCACCAGCCGAACTGTCTGCATAGGCCCCTGCACCGATAATAGGAGAGTCTCCAACTCGACTGCAGGACGCAAAATAGGAATGAAATGTAAAAAAAAAAAAGTTCAAATGTTGGACATAGAAATAATATGAAATCCAAACTGTCAAAATCTAAACTTGCATTGCTCAACTTTCTGTTTTTTGGCTCTCCAAGGAGCAGAAAACTAAATGTAAAAACTTTTCAGACAGAAAAAAACTTGCATTCGTTCTCTACATCACAAATATTATGCAAGCGGTTTTAAATTACTTCAATAGCTATTTTTGCTTCAACTTTAAATAGTAGTAATATGCCCAATTTGTGTACACAACATTCGTCCTATGGTAGTATCAAACTAGTTGATCACCTGAATGTGTTACCCTTCAAGCAAAAAGCCAAAATAAATATGATAAAAGTTCAGTCTAAGTGCTAATATGTTCTCTGCGTCTTCAGAGGCTAAACATGGAAGAGTATTTAAAGGAGTGTTGAGACTTGAATGTTGCCCTTAAGTTTTCTTTTTCATAAAGCTTCAATTCATGTCGGGATGTGTTTGGCAACAAGAAAAGATGAACGTTTCCTTTAATTAAGCAATCTGTATTCAAAGATACTTCAGTTTACCATCCTCACTCCAACCAGTAGACCAAAGAGGGTAAACCCAACACTGAATTTGGAAGTGGACCATGAGACTTAGAATGGAAGGATGAGATGTTAGGGGTTTACTATTTATGCAGCTGGACATCATTACATTCTACAAACCAGGCTTTAGACAAGAAAGAGTGGGAGCATTTCCATAAACTGCATGTTTAATAAACGTAAACATCAGCCCTGTAGGTTTCATAAATAATTTAAAATGATGTAATCATGTGAAGTGTTTGCATTTTGAAGTTACTAATAAATGTATAAACCGTAAGACTAGAGCATAACATAGCATTAGATCTCTTCATTTAGTGCTTTAGGGGTAATGTTTGCAATGGAAATGTTCAGATTACTTACACTCCATAAAAGACTTTCATTAGTTTCTGTCTGTGTGGACGCCTCTCTGGCAGAGCAGCCTTAAGAATGCCCCGAATCTTGAAATGTTTTTAAATAATTTAAATGCTCTGCTACTGGATAAGTCTTTTATTGCTTACTTTAATGTCGCATTCACGATTCCTTCGTTTTTTGTTTAGTTTTTTTATTTTTTTCAGTGCAATACTTTAGTTAAATAGGATAACCTATGTGGACACTTGATCATGAAAATTACATTAATACAGGAACATGTGATCATTTCCTTTATTTGATATTTTTTCTCAGTATAATAACTAATGACTTGTTACCTTTGAGCATACATACTGAACACATTCCACTTACAGCTCCTATTTGAAAGAGGTTTAATCAAAGCTAGTCTCACATTTTAAACATAAGATCTATTTTTTCCCTTTGATATTTTCCCTCATTAAATTTGAAATCCCTGTATGTAGCATGGTGTAGCTCTGGTTCAACTCAGTTTTTTTATTTATTGATTGATTGCAGACTCAGAATTCAGATTTGGCCTGTCCACATTGTTCAAGATCTATGTGATGCAGAAGTACCTTAAGATTACATAAAAATAAGAAAACACGTGTTTCTCTTCACTACACACTAAAGTATAAATAAAGAGAGTGCTGTACAAAATTCTAATCTACCTTCATTTCTCTAAATTCGTCTTTGAAGGAGACAGACTCCCTGGTAATTTTTAAAGTGCTGAAGAGAAATTGTTATGAAAGTTTTTTGAAGGTCTTTCAAAGTTTTTAACTATTTTATTTATCTGTTGTCATTGTCATTTTAAGTCCAGTTGTTAAATGTGACAACCTTAAATGTTTTTTTTTCCCTTGTTTGCTTTGAGCCATGGAAAACTAACCAATAAAATCAATAATGTTTCCACATGGAGTCTACTTTCCACATGGAGTGTACCTAAACTCAAGAAGCAAACCCAAGTTGTCAATATACAACAGAACACTTTGTAAAGAACCAGTTTTATTTTACATGTGGCATACTTAAGGCTCTTTGACACCGAATGTAGAAACGAATGTGGTCCGGTTTTCATACGACTTCCGCATAGATCAAAAATTAGAGTCCAATCAGAGTAATCTCTGTGGTGCACATCTGGATGCAGAGCTCAGGCATGTTTCCACATGGAGTCTACTTTTTTCCAGACGCCACCTGTGGATTGTCATGAAGGTAAAGAAATTACATGAAGTAGACGGGAAGTGAGACGTGTTTCAGTGGAGTGTATCCGTCGTCGTCTTTCTCCGCTTATCCGGGTCCGGGTCGCGGGGGTAGCATCCCAACTAGGGAGCTCCAGACTGTCCTCTCCCCGGCCTTCTCCACCAGCTCCTCCGGCAGGACCCCAAGGCGTTCCCGGACCAGATTGGAGATGTAACCTCTCCAACGTGTCCTGGGTCAACCCGGGGGCCTCCTGCCAGCAGGACATGCCCGAAACACCTCCCCGGGGAGGCGACCAGGAGGCATCTTGACCAGATGCCCAAACCACCTCAACTGACTCCTTTCGATCCGGAGGAGCAGCGGTTCTACTCCGAGTCCCTCCCGAATGTCCGAGCTTCTCACCCTATCTCTAAGGCTGAGCCTGGCCACCCTACGGAGGAAACTCATTTCGGCCGCTTGTATCCGCAATCTCGTTCTTTCGGTCATTACCCAAAGCTCATGACCATAGGTGAGGATTGGGACATAGTTCGACCGGTAAATCGAGAGCCTGGCTTTCTGGCTCAGCTCCCTCTTCACCACGACAGATCGGCTCAGCGTCCGCATCACTGCAGATGCTGAACCAATCCGCCTGTCGATCTCACCATCCCTCCTACCCTCACTCGTGAACAAGACCCCGAGATACTTAAACTCCTCCACTTGAGGTAGGACCTCTCTCCTGACCCGGAGTTGGCAAGCCACCCTTTTCCGGTTGAGAACCATAGTCTCAGATTTGGAGGTGCTGATCCTCATCCCAGCCGCTTCACGCTCGGCCGCAAGCCTACCCAGCAAGAGCTGAAGGTCAGAGCTGGATGAATCTAGGAGGACCACATCATCCGCAAAAAGCAGAGATGAGATTCTCCTGCCACCAAACTCGACGCACTCCACACCACAGCTGCGCCTAGAAATTCTGTCCATAAAGGTAATGAACAGAACTGGTGACAAAGAGCAGCCCTGGCGGAGTCAACCCTCACCGGGAACAGGTCCAACTTACTACCGGCTATGCGGACCAAACTCACGCTCCTCTGGTAAAGGGACTGAATGGCCCTTAACAGAAAACCACCCACGCCATACTCCTGGAGCGTCCCCCACAGGGTGTCCCTGGGGACACGGTCATAAGCCTTCTCCAAATCCACAAAACACATGTGGATTGGTTGGGCAAACTCCCATGCCCCCTCCATCACCCTTGCAAGGGTATAGAGCTGGTCCACAGTTCCACGGCCAGGACGAAAACCACATTGCTCCTCCTCAATCTGAGATTCAACTATCGATCTGACCCTCCTCTCCAGTACCTTGGAGTAGACCTTTCCAGGGAGGCTGAGAAGTGTGATCCCCCTATAGTTGGAACACACTCAGGTCACCCTTCTTAAAGATGGGGACCACCACCCCGGTCTGCCACCCCACAGGAACTGCCCCCAATGACCACACAATGTTGCAGAGACGTGTCAACCATGACAGCCCTACAACATCCATAGCCTTGAGATACCCAGGACGAACCTCATCCGCCCCCGGGGCTCCGCCGCTGTGTAGTTGTTTAACTACCTCAGCAACTTCTGCCCCCGAGATTGGACAGTCCATCCCCAGGTATCCCGGCTCTGGTTCCTCCTCGGAATGCGCATAGGTGGGATTGAGGAGCTCCTCAAAGTATTCCTTCCACCGTCCGACTATAGCCCCAGTTGACGTCAGCAGCTCCCCATCCCCACTGTAAACAGTGTGAGCAAGTTGCTGCCTTCCTCTCCTGAGGCGCCGAACAGTTTGCCAGAACCTCTTTGGAGCCGATCGATAGTCTTTCTCCATGGCCTCACCAAACTACTCCCACGCCCGAGATTTTGCCTCGGCAACTGCCACTGCTGCACCCCACTTGGCTATCCTGTACCTGTCGGCTGCCTCCGGAGACCCACAGACCAGCCACGCCCTGTAGGCCTCCTTCTTCAGCCTGACGGCTCCCTGAACCTCGGGTGTCCACCAGCGGGTACGGGGGTTGCCACCACGACTGGCACCGGCCACAGCTAGCAACAGCCGCCTCAACAATCGCAGAGTGGAACAAGGCCCACTCGGAGTCAATGTCCCCCACTGCTCTCAGGATGCGGTCAAAGCTCTGCCGGAGGTGGGAGTTGAAGACCGTCTTAACAGGTTCTTCTGCCAGGCGTTCCCAGCAGACCCTCACTATGCGTTTGGGTCTGCCAGGTCTACGCGGCATCTTCCCCTGCCATCTGATCCAACTCACCACCAGGTGGTGATCAGTTGACAGCTCTGCTCCTGTCTTCACTCGGGTGTCAAAAACATATGGCCGCAGGTCAGATGATACGACTACAAAGTCTATCATCGACCTGCGACCTAAGCTGCCCTGGTACCAAGTGTACTGATGGGCATCCTTATGTTCGATCATGGTGTTCGTTATGGCCAAACTGCGACTTGCACAGAAGTCCAATAATGAAACACCACTCGAGTTCCTCCCAATCACACCCCTCCAGGTCAAGCTGTCATTGCCCATGTGAGCATTGAAGTCCCCCAGCAGGACAATTGAGTCCCCTGATGGAGCACTATCTAGCACTCGTCCCAGGGACTCCAAAAAGGGTGGGTACTCTGAACTGATATTTGGCCCATAAGCACAAACAACAGTCAGGACCCGTTCCCCGACCCGAAGGCGCAGGGAAGCTACCCTCTCGTCCCCCGGGGTAAACCCCAACACACAGGCAGAGAGTCTTGGGGCTAACAAAAAGCCAACCCCAGCCCTCCGCCTCTCACCCGGAGCAACTCCAGCAAAGGAGAGTGCCCAACCCCTCTCAAGGACTTGAGTTCCAGAGCCAATGCTATGTGTCGAGGTGAGTCCGACTATATCTAGCCGGTACCGCTCAACCTCTGCCACAAGCTCCTGCTCCTTCCCTGCCAGCGAGGTGATGTTCCATGTCTAAAAACCAGTTTTCTTGTTCGGGGATCGGACCGCCAAGGCTCCCGCCTTGGTCTGCCACCCGATCCACATTGCACCAGACCCTTCATGTTCCTCCTGCGGGTGGTGGGTCCACAGTTGGATGAGCCCATGTATCCGGTTCGGGCTGAGCCCAGACAGGCCCCATGGGCGAAAGCCTGGCCACCAGGCACTCGCTCACGGGCCCCAACCCCAGGCCTGGCTCCAGGGTGAGATTCTGGTAACCCTCCGGGCCATGGTACACTGACTCTTTGAATTTACATCCATGAAAGATCCTATGAGCCGTTCTTTGTCTCACCCTTCACCCAAGACCAATTTGTCATGGGAGACCCTACCAGGGGCACAAAGTGCCCCCAGACAACATAGCTCCTAGGATCATTAGGGCACTCAAACTCCTCCACCACGATAAGGTGACAGTTCAAGGAGGAGTATCCGGTATTTTCAAAATAAAACCTGCCACGTTATTTTTGCCAACCTTTCTTTTATTATTAACGACGGGGACATCAGTTCACGTTATTTTTACATTAAAATTTTAAACGTAGTTTCAAAGTTCTAATCAATCAATACTCTTGTGGGAACAGATATCCGGAGACATTCAGCACGTGAACTGCAGTAAGTAGGAATGGCAGTGCATCCGGAAACCATACAGATACTGGACAGCCTCCGCCCCACATTCGGTGTGAAACAGGGTTAAGTTACCAACAATCCATTGGAAGATTTCATTTTATTGAATATTTTGTTACATATATAAAAACATCAAAATAATCAATGTTTGCCATAACGTTTTCTTGTGATTTTCCTTAGCAACAAGGGAAATCACAAAAATGGTTTGCAGCCAAAAACTTCAGTCAAATGAAGATTGATCGATCAAGGTCTGCAAAGTCGTTTTTGCAGGATCTTTCTTTTTAAGTTCTGTTTGCCAGCTTTATGCAGTATACACTCCTTTCGTCCCTCACTTATATGATTATTTTAAAGACTACATCATGCCTAGACATGCAAAATGTAAGATAACATTGGTTAAAACATCCTGTATCAGAAAAAAATGTACTTCTAAAGGTCTTCAAAAAGCCTGGAAGACTATACTTAACACTGTCTTTTAAAATATTATGAGAAATTATTGCTGTTTGAAAGCAAAATCAAAAAGAATGTATTGGTAGGTCAAGGACTTTGTTCAGTACTTGTATGTCATCATCCCTGCACATATCTTGAGGGAAAATGCTAAATAAACAACTTTGATGTTAAAGTTCTCATTTTGCAAACATAACATGAGTTTGTGAGTGGTAGAAATAGACATGGTACCAGAGCAAAGTTAGCTACACTTTTATGGTGTTCACCTCATTGATTGGTAGACTACCATCACGCTAAGTGATACAGCCTACAGTGATGGTAAACAGCAAATAATAAAGGAGAAAAGCACAGGAGGAAGTGATAGTTCCTGCAGAGAAACACTCCATCACACCCATCCAGTGGGTAATTAGGCATGACAGGGAGGGATTACTTTTGAATGACTCTATAAATTATGTTTATTTTTTAAATGCACATCCTGCAAAGTAGGATTTCTGGATTATTGCGCATGTTTTTGTGTCATTTTGAAACAATGAAAGCCACCCACTTTCAGGAACTGGCCAATTATTTCTATTTTATGGCAATGTCTAAAAAAGTTTCAAGTTTGTAGACGCACTTAAAAAGTCAGGCGGAGTGAAATGTTTATATGTCTAATAAATAGTGATGCTGACAAAAAAGAATGCATGAGCTTTCTCATTTATTATGATGAAAACACACCCTGAAGATGCAAATGTATCCATTATCATTATTAAAGTAAACATTCTACACACCCTGGAATTTTGTGAGTTAGTCCATTAGTTGATGTACCAGCAGCCATGTTACCCTTTTTATCTAGAGCAATCATCCCTGGTAGGAGAAAAAAGTGTTGTTAAAAAAACTGTGTAAACAACAAATTATTGTCATTTTAAGCTCTTGTATGAATGATTGCTTAAACTGACCATTTGGTAAGCAAGCAATGAACTTGAGTTTTACCAAAGATGAAAAAAACATTTTATATATATATATATATATATATATATATATATATATATATATATATATATATATATATATATATATATATATATATATATATACATATATATATAAGCAATAATTTCCCTGTTTTGGTATTTTGCCTCCATCCTTGGACCCATCTGTTATGTAATTAAACATTCCATAACCAGTTTGTATCATGGAGGTAACAAATATTAAAGATGCTTCAATGAAAACTGCTCAGTGGACCTACCTATGGTGTCGTGGGAGTGTATATTAACAGGCCGTGCCCTCTTGTTCTGAGCTTGTATTGCTTCTGGCCTGTAGGGTCCACATGACTTCGAAGGATCTGGAGTGACATTCTGTCGGCAGGTGATAAGAGGATATCACTTTTTGCATTATGCTGTTACCGTGGGACTTAATTACCTTAATAAAGCATAGACAAAGCATCCTGATCTGTAGGCACTTTCAATCTAGGGATTTAATGAAATTAAAGCATCAGCACTTTAGTCAGCACATGTTTTTGCGCCTAATATATAATGATGGATGTCTTCTCTAGCTGTCACACACCATAAGACTGCAGCACAGGTAACTCAGTATCTCTGCATTCATTCTAAGTTGTTTTGAGCAGTGTGTCAGACAGCACAAGCTGTGATACTCTGGGAATGTGTTTACTGGTTTAAACACACCAGCTTGGCCTACAGAGGAGTGTAAGAAGTCTATTCTACCTTTCTGAGGTAAAAGGCAAGTTAAATTCTCCTGAAAAGAGTGAATTTTTCATTAAATGGATTGCATCAGAATCTGAGTTTTGCTCCCTTTTATAAAGACAAAATCATTGCAACATACTCTGTTTATGAGCAACACAAGTACAAATGTTCTCCCGTTACCTCAGAGACAAGCTTGGTGGTTTATTTCTTTGCTTTTGCGATTTTTAGGTGTGAAGGGGGGGATGTTGACTTTACCTCAGTTATGTTGTGAATTTTTTTAAAGTTTAGAAAATGATGCAAACTGTCTTAGCTAGAAAATAGGAGGAGAGGTAGATTGGTTACTTAAAGACAGCTTTATCTACTCTATTTCATTTGAAGTCTGTACGATCTTAACACACTAAATCTCAAAAGGCCCGTTCACTGTAAGAAAATAAAAGTATTTATTTTGCATTTTCCCAACTAATAATCTCACCAAATTACAATATCCATCCATCCATTTCTATTCCTGCTTATCGACACAGGGTCGCGGGGGGCTTGTGCCTATCTCCAGCAGCCTCCAGGCAAACAGGCGGAGTACACCCTGGACAGATTACCAGTCTGTCGCAGGGCAACACAGACACACACACAGGACAAACAACCATGCATGCACACACACCTATGGACAATTTTAGACAGACCAATTAACCTGACAGTCATGGTTTTGGATTGTGGGAGGAACATGGCCCCCAGGCCGGGATTTGAATCCAGGACCTTCTTGCTGCAAGGCAGCAGCACTAATCACTGCGCCACTGTGCATCCTATAATTAAATAATTCAGAGTAATTTCTACTAGAGCCCTGCACGGGCCTAAAATCTGAGCCCGTGTCCGGCCCGGCCCGAGGGGGTGGAGCCCCAGCCCGACCCGGCCCGAAAAGGTTTTCAGGATTCTCTGGCCCGGCCCGAGCCCGGCTTTTTTTTAACCAACTAAATGAAAACAAAGTGCGTCAATCCTGACCAATGTGTTAAAAGACGTGCAGGATCCGAGCGTCGCAGAAGCGCATGCGGGAAGGTTCCTCCCACTGAAGCGAGTGTTTTCCAAACCCTGTCTCTCAGAGAGACTTGTCACTTAGAAAATGTTCCCTGATTATGAAACTTTGGCTGAATAGCGCTTGTTCCTGTCTCCAATGTGCGACGCATCCAGGAGCCGTCTGAGGAGAAGCCCAGAATCTCACATCCTCTTCAGCTCATAAGCGCCTATGGTTACGCACAAGCGTGACCCAACCCGGTCTGGGTTGGAACTGTTCAGGTTTACGCAGACAATCTTCACATAGAATTGACTTACAGATATAAAATTAATTCAGTAAAATATAAAGCATTTTATTTAAATATCCATTCATTATTTTACAAGCACAGACAGCCGCATCAGATGGATGGAAGAGCCGCGGGTTGCCGATCCCTGCTCTAGTTCAAGATATCATTAAAATTCCAAAAGTGCTGAAAAGATAAAAAAAAATGGGGCTTTCCGTGTATAAACAATACATTACGGTAGCCACCGGGATCCCCTGTCTGGAGCGCAACGAATCACAACACAGATTCAGAGACGTGCGAGTTTGTCATCCAAAATGCTCCGTTTTATAACTTTTGAATGGCTGATCAGATTCAAATAATTCCAACGGTTCCTAAAAGTACATAAAAGCAGCTTTGCAACGATCTATAGCATGAAGCAGTCAGAGTTAGAGAAAATATCGCTACGAGGGGAAATCCTGCTGTACAGCCTGATTGAAACGGAGCGCAGCGCAGCGGTGAAAGCGGATAACCTATAAAATGACATGTTGAGGACGCAAACTCAATACATCTCTTTTATTGTGAGGTAATAATTTCTCTGAGTTTTGCGGTTGCGGGCGGGAGTAGACATGCACGCTGCAGGTGCGGGCGGTAATGGTCCGTAATTCAGCAGGTGCGGGATGAAGAAAACAGTCCCGCGCAGGGCTCTACTGCTGCGTTTAAGTGTTTTAATTTTTTTTAATGATTTCGATTAAAAATAAAGGCGCCCGGCCCGGCCCGTGTCCGAGGTAATTACACAGTCGTTGGCCCGAAGGGCTTCAGTGCAGGGCTCTAATTTCTACATTGTATCTGTTTTTTAGAGAAGTTTTATCCAACACAGACGCAACTATAAATAGTTGTGGGAACTTCACAATAATACGTTTTGTCTCCTAAAATATGAATGGGAGAAATTTGATCAATGGAACGTGGAAAAATCTCTGAATATATATCACTTCCCTTATTCCAGAGATGTCGTGACATTGTTATGGAAGCAAAGAGGAAGCTTTTGAAGAAAGCAACAGCTCAGTGCTGTAGGGCATCACCTTTGCCACAAAAGCTGACTTTCTGTTTTTTTGAAGTACTTTCGTATTCCCGTCGATTTTTCCTTTTGAAATCAATCTTTTAGAAGCAGTATGCCTGTGGCAGACACAAGTGTAGAAAAACAGTCTGATATGAGCACACACACATGCACTTACCTTTCGATAATTAGGTTGGCAGTTGCCCTTCAGCCACTGTGAGAAAATATTCAAAGATCTGTTGGTAGTCAGGTCTTCTGCAACAAAGCCCATGTTTTCAGCAAACACAGAGGCTACGAGCAAAGAAGCAATAGTCTCAGTACAAGGTGCACCTTCCAGACCACACTGACCTTAGGTTACAGCTAAAACAAAAGGTCACAAACAAAGACGGGACTTGAAGCAATTTAATCTAAATTAGGCTGGTCGACGTTTCTGGAAAAAGAACTGCTTCTCTGAAGGGTTCTGATTATTCTGCTACCTAAAGAATGTCAGACTGGGTATGATGGATGAGTTGATGCAAGGATTTCATGACTTACGAGTCAAATCGTTAGAGGAATGAAATGCTTCAATCAGTTTGTGTTTCTTTCTTTCTTTTTTCGTCTACTGCATAAAGCATTAGAAGCTATATATTTTTCTCTATTATTTTAAGTGGCACACTTTAGGAGTATGTAATCTTTCTCCTAATGCTCAGGGGATGATCTGACCAGCGAGTTTCCGCTAATGTTTGCCTTCTCGGGATTAAAGTTAATGCCGTTTCTAAAAGGTTTTGTCCTGCTGCAATAAGTGCCTGATTAAGATCATTAATGCAAATTCAAATATCCATCAGACACATTTATTTTTAGTCTTTTTTTTCCATTAAACTATACAATAAAAAAATAAAAATCCAGGTACAGAAATTTAACTTGTCTTTTCAAATTACAGCATTAATCCAACACACATTAATCTTCCATCTTTCAGTTCTTTTTAAATCACAGAAAAGGTTTATTTACCTGCAACGTTTTGTTTGCGGCTGCAAACATCATCAGGCTGATGCCGATGGTGGCGTCACTTCCTTCATGTATCCGCGGGGAGCAGAGAACGTTGTCGCCCTCTGCTGCCCGCTCTCCCCTCTCCGACGATGCAGTCCCATGCACGGTCCAACGTGTAAACTCCATCGTCCCTGTTCATGGTCCCACATCCACGTCTCCTTATCTCGATTGCTTCTTTTGTCCATCTTTTGTATTTTTGTTGTTCGATGTTTACGATCCTTGTGTTGTCCCAGTCCATTATATGGTTTTCTCTTGTGCAGTGATCTGTTACGGCTGACTTCTTTATTGTGCTTTCTGCTTCTTCTTTTGCTGCTCTTGTGTGTTTTCGACTTGCCTCTTTCTCGCACTCCTTTCTATGTTCTATTGTTCGTGTGTTGAGTTGGCGTCCAGTTTCTCCTATGTATGTTTTATTGCAGAGTTTGCATGGGATTTCTAAACGACTCCACATTTCTATCCAGCTGATATCTTGTCTTTTGAGACAGAGAAAACCATATAATGGACTGGGACAACACAAGGATCATAAATACCGAACAACAGAAATACAAAAGATGGATTCATTTTGTAAAGCACTTTGAGTAGCACTTTGTTTGAAAATCACTTTATAAATAAATCTGATTGATTGATTGATTGGATAAAAGAAGCTATCGAGATAAGGAGACGTGGATGTGAGTCCATGAACAGAGACAATGGAGTTTAGTCGTTGGATCGCGCATGGGACTGCATCATCGGAGAGGGGAGAGCGGGCAGCAGAGGGCGACAACGTTCTCTGCTGCCCGCGGATAAACGGAGAAGGAAGTGACGCCACCATCAGCGTCAGCCTGAAGATGTTTGCAGCTGCAAATGAAACGTTGCAGGTAAATAAACCTTTACTGTGTTTTAAAAGAACTGAAAGAAGGAATTTGAAACTCAACACAGCAAGAACACACCAAAGACACATTAATCTTGATTTTATTCCTATTCAGGAGTGGACAACAGCTCACACATACCTGCTTCTCCCACAAGCAATGTGTGGTCTGTGTGCTCCATCACAGCTCTGGCCACTCCGATAGCATTTTTGATTCTTCTCAAGTCTGCCACTGCACCCACTTGCATTGTATTACTGCTCAGAGAGTGCACACAAACGAGAAAGAAGCAATCCTGTAAGGTTTGCTGGATTCAAACCCAGCAAGTCATGTAGCTTCATTATAAATCCGGGTAGAGCAGAATACAAAATACACCAGCATGTGTAATGGACTTGAAATATGTTGGAAAATTTATTATAAAGAACCTGAATTTCAAGAGCTTGCAAATGGAGTAAAATCAACTCTATCCTGACACGATATCACAGAATTACCATTTTTACACGTCTAATGTTTAATGCTGTACTGCTTCATTGGATCACTGTACTGGTGTTGATTTAAATTCTTGCACTTAAGAATGAAGAATAGGTCTGCTGCTGTGTGGTGGATTTCTTGGGTATCATTACTCTGTAACCAAAAAAAGTAAATTTTCTGGCTAAATGAGAGAAGGAGCATTCCATTAAGAGTAAACAGCTTACTGCTCGTCTTTTGTTGTGAGCTGACATTTACTTCCCATTATAACTTCTGAGACTGTAAATGTTAGTATTTAAGGACCTAATAATTGGAAAGCTTTCAGATCATAATGAGACTCTTAATTAGCACTTCCCTGCAGAAGGCTTGAAGAAAAGGTCAGCCAGTTAAGTGTGTAAATGTTAAAGATACATGGGAAGATGCTGCAGATTGTTAAAAAAGGACAAATAAAAGTGTAGCTACAGGTTGACAGCTGCAGGTGAATGATTAGCATTTTAAAAATCCAAGTAATCAAATATAGGTTTGAATTTTTAAGATCTTCGCAACTTCTCTGTTCATTTAAAGTAATGTCACGCTAGCATCAAACAGCACTAAAGCAGAACAACTGAAAGATAAAATGGCTCTGGGCTTGAACCATCTCACGGGTGCCACAGGAAATCTAGAAAGCTATTAAATTTCAATCAGTTTAAAAAAAAAATTGCCCGTGATACAAATCCTTACTGTTCAATTAGACTGCATTTCTATTTCTCTCTTTGCCTCAGCCTGACAGACCAGTGTACAGTGTGTCTGCGGTTTACCCGTTCATGATCATGGCATCAAGCGTCGTCTCTCCAGACTCATCAGGGCTCCCACCGAAGCCCACGCTGCCATCACACTGCTCAATTTCGCATTGGGCACAGCCTTTCTCCACTGCATCCAACACAGAGCCCCCGGACCGAAGGACGCCCCATGCTGCACAAACAATGAGCCTGTCAGCGAGCAGCATCACTCTGTTCAAACGAGCCTTTGTCTGAATAAAACAAGTAAAGATTGAAAACAGACACCATAGAAACACAAGAAATGACCGCCGCTATTTAGATATTCCTTTTATCAAAACAATGGACGAGAAACCAGTTTAAAATTTAACACGCTTTCACCCAAATTTCATCATGTTTTCAGGACGGTTTTGATAATTGTGATACACAGCTGATTTTCTAAAATCCGTTTGCTGCTTTTACTAATCTGGTTTGATTAGTCAGAACTGTATTAAATGTGCAAAAATGACCAGTGCAATGGCTTTCTAATAAACGGGGCCGATAAACATTTGGTCACTAATCCTCTGTGTACCCATGAGGGATCAAAACACCCACTGAAGGCTGAGCCACCAGCTTCCCACTAAATGCTCTGGTTATTCCAGTGTTCAGTGTTATTTTCCTTTTTATTAAACTCACCATTCAATATTTTTTTCTCTTTTATAATATTCAGCAGAATGGAAGCAGAGATTAGCCTGCTGTTGCCAGCTGCTTCTGTAAACCCCCCATGGAAATGATTTACATGGATAGATCAATAGTCAAGGCTTAGATTTCAATTTGAAATGTCTCAACAAAACACAGAGATGTATTTTACTCTTTTTTTTCATATCCATGGCAGAAAAGAAAAAGTTGACAGGAATGGGATAAATAAAAGGGTATTTATTTATCCAAGAGAGATTCCTGGGTGAACTTTAATCACCTACAGGTCTTAGCTGATGTCTGAGATGTTTTGAATACCATTTCTATCATTTTTCGTGTTGAGCTGTGCACCCGCTGGAAATCGACTTGACGGGTATGTCACAACTGATGCTGAAATATTTTCAGTTTCAATTCGAACATGTCCAATGTATCACCCTGAAGGAAATCAAACAGAGTGAGGGCAGACCTGCCAGTGGCAGCAGCTATGAAGCCTAGTGGGTTCAGCCCATTTCATATCCCCATCTGAGACTCTGATGGTCTTTCACATGGATAAGCTCTGGTTGAGGCACAGGCGTGCTTGGGGAGAATAATAAATAAATAAGGATTTAATGGTGTGGGAGAGGGAAAAAAAAAACCTGAAAACCAGTTATGATGCGGCCATGGCCTGAACCTAACCACACACACAATGTCCACACACACACACACACACTTATTTTCTCCAACCGTAATAAAAAAAAAACAATCTGTCAGATATTTGTTCTTTGATTAGAAACAAGTTTGGTTTAAATGAGAGGAATTAAACATCACTTTCTTCACGTTATGCTCCAATCCATTTTAATGACCTCAGTTAAAAGATGTGTGAAAATAAAAATGCATTTATTTTATTCACAATGGACACAATAAATAAATGGTTGCTAATTATATTCATGAAAAAGACATCAGTTTTATATAGTCGCTCACAAGTAATCCGCTGTCACAATGGCAGCAAATAAACAACTCATTTAGCTAAAGAATAGAGCTGCTTTTAGAGGATTAGAATACCTGTAGATAAATTGAACTTCTGTTTTTATATTTCTGTCTATACTTAACACACAGACAACACTCATTCGTGCCTAATGCCTGCATTTTTTTTTCATTTTAATCAAAGTGCACAGGCAAGTCTGTGCGCGCGCCATCGTGCACGTGTGGCGACTTTGGTGTCACGTGACTGAGCCCTTCCTGAACGTTTTCAGAGTGAACGTAACCAGTAAGAGTATAAAAAGGCCTACCTGCTGCCGCGGCGCTTTTGAACGGCCAAGTATTAACAACAACAGGTAATGACGCGTGTCCGGGGGACAGTGATAATGTTAAAAAGACAGCTAAAACCGATAAAAGCATTGTGTTTCTACCTGTACACGCACTAATATTTAAAACAAGATCATTGCATCTTCGCTGCCACAGTCGAGCTGTTAAACCCACGAAGAGAACGATAAGTGCGAAGTTCAATGAGTTTATTCTTGAATTCACAGAGACGGTAGACTCAAACTTCCTGTTTGTGTCACGTGCTGAATGGGCGGGTTCGTTGTTAAAGTGACAGTACAGCTAATACAGAATAACGTGTCACACCATTGGGGTTGGAGATTTTTGTTAAAAATTTCAATAAAATAGTAATTGTATTGTTATAGCTGAGATATTTGGTGGTTGCGGTGGTCAGTGGGGGCGGCACTAATTCTACATTATAGATTAGTCTTCAGAAATAGCTAAGGAGAAAAGGGAGTAATGCACATATTGTAAATTATTTTTGAAGAACAGAAAATTAATCAAGAGAATATAAAGATTGATAAATGTACCACTTTCCACAGTTTTAGAAACTCTACAAGAACTATATCATCTGGATTTTTTTTGTCTATTCTAAATTAATTTGTCTTTGATTCAGTTTTACAAAGAGTGACACATAATTAGACCTATTTATTTTATTCTTACATTTAGCCCTGGCTGAAAAAACAACAAAAATGCATTTTCAAAGCACACGTGTAGAGTTAAAGGAGAAGGTAAAGCAAGCAGGTATATTATTGATGGTGTTATCCAATTTAGAAGTTCTGCTCATTAGCAGCTTTCAGAGCCACCAGCATGCACCCCTGCATGAGTGGAATTCTATTGCAGTGAAATAGGCCCAAGTAGTTAACATGCTCTACGCCATACTAACTAGCCCTAACTTAATGTTTTTTTAAGTTCTTGTTGTGCGGTCAACATGCTCAAAAATGTTTCATTTGTGCAGTTATTAAAAACATTTAATCTCTATGTTCATTCATTTTATGTAATTAGCTTTTCACTATTATTTTAGAATTAAAATACTATAACTAAGTTACATATTGGGCTTTATTTTTTAATTTAACTGTGATGATTATTATTCTCATAATTACAGTACTGCCATAGTAACCGTGACAGCAAATGCAGTCATATAAAGACTGCTGCTCAAATTAGTGTTAAACATGCAAATAGGTTTGGTCTGTAATTAAGATAATTAACTAGTTACTCCTCCTCAGCATTTGTGAAGCTAATTATTCCAGGAAGCTCTGACAAAGCTTTGTCAAAACCAGCTTTCTTCGGCTGTCCTGGATTACTGAATTCTAACCTTCCCAAAAGAAATATCTAACAAGCCAACGCATCCAATGTCACTGTTTGTAGCATTTAACTGGAGTCAGACTAGTTGTTGCTGTTATGTTAACACGCTTCACTAATAGCATCCAGTTTTTCATACAGGGTGGATTTGTGAACACTTTTAGTGGTTGCACTCATTATTTACACCATAGTGCTCAAAGTTGACCACTTAAAGAGGAGAAGCAGAAACCTGAATGTTCTGCTGGCCGCTTGGGAACTTGGCGATTTCTCTCAAGGGTGTAATTTGCTTTGGAGGCACCAGGAAACAGAGGTAAGTATTTGCTGCATGTGCTTTAGTAGATGTTGGACAAACTGTTTGTTCTTGGCAAATGTCAGTGAGCTGACTAAGCTGCCCTTGTTGTTTGCTGTTGCACGATCATTTTTAGCTTTTTTTCTGCTGGGTTTGTTGCTTGAATCTTGTTTGGATAATTAATGTTATAAATGTTTTGCATTCTTTATAGCATAAGTGGTGCCTGTCCCTTTTTGTTGCATGTGTCAAGCTGCTGCATCCACATCAGTGTGTATTTCTTTCAAACATATTAAAGGGCTGCTTTGTTAGTTAGTTTAACTGGATTCAGTTTGTTAGGCTATTTGCATCATACCCTCGTGCATTTTAAATGAACGAGAAACAAACAGTTGGAAATGGATAGAATGCTTTCTCCAGGTCAGGGACAATGTCCTGCCTCAAGAGGAGGAGCTGAAGTACCTCGGGGTCTTGTTCACGAGTGAGGGGAGATTGATAGGTGGATTGGTGCTGCATCTGCAAGTTCAGAGACTAAAACTCGCGGAATAGTTTTCAGGCGAGACCGAGGCTCAGACTGAGGCTACTGAGGCCTTTCCACAGAGCTAGCTCTGTGGTCACGTGGGTCTGATGCTCATTAATTAGTCAGAATTTTAGGCTTTTAATACACTTAAACAGAAGAGTGACAAAAAAATTCACCCCCCTCAGAGTTGTCATGAGTGTAAACTAGATCAATTAAACCTAATGCATGTTTTGGAACCAGGCTGTAAACATGTTTATTTTTGCTGTGAAATTGGTATTTTTAACATGGGAGTCAATGAGGATTTGCTCACTACTGACACCAGCCCCCAGCGGATGAGGGTGGAACTGCAATTTATTTCACTTCCGCACTGGCTTCAATTTTAGACTCGCATTGTGGGGGCTTGATCTCAACACACTGAGTTCTTCTCCTCTCTCCCTAAAAGCAGTCTCAACTCATTTACATACAAGCCTGCTCTGCTCAAGAGGCCACAAGGCATCAACTATATTAACATGCACACAGAAACAGTAAGCGTCCTGCTTAGCGCAGAAAGCGGCAAAGCATCAACAATAGGGATGAGCCAAAGCATTTTTGACGCGTACGAGCATGAAACGAATAAAACTCGTAAATATCTGTAATCGTGCTGAAGGAAAATCCTCACTGGGTAACTGTCTTCGCGCTCTGTGATTGGCCAGTCACTTAGAGCGCCCGCCCCTCCCTACACACAAAACTCTGCAGCTGGAGCTCAGTCCGTCCGGCCCACACATAGACAGTAACGGATCTCTCTGGGCTTGCTTCACTTATGCTCACGTTTCTTCAGTACTCCCTATGTTTTCTTCAGCTCGGTTTAATATTTAAAGTAACTTTTTTTGTAACGTACGTGGTGCATTTGACAAGACAGAGCTGAAAACGGCTCGTGCTGCGTCGGTCACTGCCTCCGCTCCACTCGGGTTCTCTCTCTCTCTCTCTCTCTCTCTCTCTCTCTCTCTCTCTCTCTCTCTCTGTCTCTCTCTCTGTCTCTCTCTCTCTCTCTCTCTCTCTCTCTCTCTCTCTCTCTCTCTCTCTCTCTCTCTCTCTCTCTCTCTCTGTATGTATTAATTTATGCACTTAAATATTAATGTTCTGATTTTATTGAAAAACTTGTTCTGTAATAGTTCCTTTACTGTTGTGATCAAAACTATTTGATAAATGATAAATTACCCACATTTGTATAGCGCCTCTCAGAGTAAGGACTCCAAAGTGCTTTACACTACAGTGTATAATTCATTCATTCATTCATTCACACACACATTCACACAATGATGGTGATGAGTTACGATTCTTCTTCTGGCTCTTGGAGGGTGCAGATGCTTTCTTTCCTCCTCTCCTCCATATCTTATCCTCAAGGCCTTTGTCTGTCTGTGTGTGCTGGGTGCACGGCTGCTTCTGCATTTTTCTGGAAACTGGAAACTGAAATTCACTTAAATGGATCTCGTCAGTTGGTCTCTCAATGCGATTGATAACATTTTCTCAACGATGAGAGCGGGAGAAGGGGCTCTGGATGCCCTGCCGGGACAGACCCAGTTGGACACATCATGGACTCCTAGAAACAGTGGAACTTGATCTGTCTATCTCAGCTGTCTGTGGAGGACTCTGGAGACATGTGGATATTCGTGGTGTTGGTGTCAGGTTTCCTGCTCATTGGCCTTGGAGACTACCTGGCTTACCAGAAAATTAACGAGCTGTCGAGGAATATTGGCCTGATCCCGGAGCTCAGAGATGATTTGCACCGTGCTGTGAATTCACAGACTCAAATAATTGTCGAGATGAATCGTAAGCTTGAGAATTTGGCGGAGATTCATTCTTTGGCACAAAAGATGGATGCCATCAAGGAGATAATGGACGAATCAGCATGGATTGGGATAGATTAATGTCCATTATTGGGATTCTGAGAGGTTGATGACCAACAAACTGTAAGACAGAGAGGAAATTATCTCTGTCTGGCCCCAAAACAATTTCTAATCGGAATCAGGCGCCCTTGAGCCAGCAAGGCTCCAACGAAAACTCCCCCCTCAGAAGATATGTGGAATGTGCCGTCGCTATGGCAACTCAACTCTGTATCCTTTCCCAGCCTGGGCGGGACTGCGAGAAGGCAGCTGAAACGTTCCAGGGTCACTGCAACCCTCCAACCCTCAATGCTCCTTCCCCTATCCACACTGAGGTGACATGCGCTGCTTATCGTGGCTGCAGGAACTGAAGTGGGGATAGTCCCAACCCACCACCCCACCTAGTGGATACTTATGTTGTGTTGTCTGAAGTCTGTTGCATATCTGTCTGAGGTGTTTTTTTGCAGAGCAAAGCTGCCCTCCTGGTGGGAGGGTCACTCTGAAGTGCCTTTTTTTCCCTCCACCTGAACCAATCCTCATGTAACCCCTCTTATCTCTATTAAGGTAGCACGAATCAGGGTTGCGAATGACCACCGTCACCAATTCTTGTCATGTGTCTTGCCCATGTATGTCTGATCTCTGAATTGTGTGTACTGAAACTCAAATTTCCCTCTGGGATTAATAAAGTATCTTTGATTTGATTGATTGATTGATTGATTGATTGATTGATTGATTGATGTAGCCACAGCTGCCCTGGGGCGTACTCACAGAGGCGAGGCTGCCGAGCACAGGCTCCACCAGTCCCTTCGACCACCACCAGCAGGCAAGGTGGGTTAAGTGTCTTGCCCAAGGACACAACAACAAAATTCTCTGTCCGGAGCTGGGATCAAACCTGCAACCTGCCGATTACTGGACAACCCGCTCAAAAACGGGCGTATTTAATCTCAACTCTGAAGCTGCTCTGTAAATAGTTTTCAAATAAACTATACACATATCAACTTCTGATCAATCCATATCAATTTCAGACTTAAAATTATGTATTGATGTAAACCACACCCACTTCCGGTTAAACTACACCCACTTCTGGGTTAGGCCACACCCACTCCAAGTACAGATACAGATACAGAGAATTTAGATGGTTGAACAGATATAGATATCGATGGTGGTGTACTCGCTCATCCCTAGTCAACAATATTTACTAAACCTGGGTGGTGTGGGGTTTGGAGGTTAGTTTGAGATTATACTGGCACAGGCACATCCTTGTGGGTTGAAACTAGGGGCTG